CAGCCCGGCACCCCGACACTGCACAGAACCCCGGAATGCACATCCCAGCACCCCAACACTGCCCAGCACCCCGGAACGCACTGTCCCGACCCTCTGCAGGACCCCGAAACCGCCCTGCACCCTGGAATGCACTGCCCTGCACCCCGACACTGCCCAGCAACCCCAACACTGCCCAGCACCCCGGAACGCACAGCCCCGGCCCTCTACAGGACCCCGACACGGCCCTGTACCCCGGAACGCACATCCCAGCACCCCAACACTGCTCAGCACCCCGGAATGCACATCCCAGCACCCCAACACCGCCCTGCATCCCGGAATGAACAGCCCCGGCCCTCTGCGGGACCCCAACACTGCCCTGCACCCCGGAACGCACAGTCCTGCACCCCAACACTGCCCAGCACCCCGGAATGCACAGCCCTGCACCCCAACACTGCCCTGCACCCCGACACTGCCCAGCCACTCTCACAGGTTGTTTTTGGAAACACTTTCTGCTCTTTGCTTTATCCTGCGTCACAGCCCCGTGTCACTGTCTGCAGTCCTGACCGGGGTGCTGCACCTCACTGTGTCACTTGTGTGGAACATTAAAATGATGGAATAATCTAAATTTTGGGTTTTTCTTTGTAGCAAAGCAAATTAGTCAAGGAAAAAGGGATAAGTGGTGTTATTCAGTGTTCATTGACACGTGAAGGTCCCCGTGCCTTCAATAAGACACCCGACAAGCATTAAATAAAAGCTGGGTTTGCTGTGGAACAGATCCGTTCTACCAAAGCCATGAATTGAGCCCAGCACACGCAGCAACAGCCAAAMCCCACCCAAAGACCCCCAGAGCTGCAGAGAGGGGCACCGAGCTGCACTCGGGAAAGGTGAGAGCCCACACACAACTCCTCCTACACAGAAACCTTCATCCCAATGAAATTCTTCACACGGCACAAAAACAGCTCAATTGCAAATGAGGGAGCTGAGGAGGAAAAGGTGAAGGGACCAAAACCCCTGGATTTCGCTGTAGAAATTCTCACCTTAATGGTATTCCCAAGCTACAAATGAGATTTGGTTTCTTACAGAAAATTACAAAGATCTGAATAAAAATTAGAAATTCTCTGAGTAGATAAGGCGCCTGTTCAAGGAGATTTGCTGTTTACACTTGTCCAAAAGCACATTTCCCGCAGTCCCTCWGCCTGGCACCTTCCCCGTGGTGCAGAAACGCCACGCTGGGAACTCGAGCGATCCCAAACCTCCTCCCTGGCTCAGCAGGGCTGCTCTGCTCGTGTTCCAACAAATCAAATATGTTCCCACTGCATCTGCACGAAGCTCCAGCTGTGCAGGAACCCCTCACCCTCAGATCCGCACGGCTCTGCAGGCCGGACACGCTGCTTTGGAAGGAGARCACAATCACCTGTTTTGTGTAAATGAGTTCTCCTGGTCATCCTCACACCCCATCAAATGCAATAATCCACTCAAAATTCTGTAATGCCCAATATTTTGATAAATACGCACTTTGAAATAAGATAAATTAAAAAACAAACAAAACAACACACAAAGCTTGAGCTCCTCCACAAATCCACCCGCGTTCCTCCAACCCACAACRCCAGAGAAGGAAATTATTCGCTGCTAAAACAGGGGAGCAGAGACAGGAGGAAATCAGGAAAACAGAGAAACCACACCATACAGAAAATGTCAAATATGTCAAAACATTCATGAATACCAACATCTCCCTCTGCACCATCCCCAGCTGCAGAGGTTACTTAGGGCTAACGTTTCAGCAAGTGCAGATTATGCAGCGCGGGGTTTACTTATACATAGAAAATCAGCCACAGGTGCATCCRAGGTGCTTTCTGTGCGCAGCCAGCGCGGGGATTTCTCCCACTAAAGGCAAATCGGGAGGGTAAAATAACACAAATCGCGAATTTCCCAGCTCTACCCACCCCAGACGGAAATTCCTCCTGGCTGCTCACGGCACATGGTGAGGATAATTAGGGCAMGGACTGAAAGCAACTGTTGCCGATTGTATTACCCAACTAATAAAGCTCCTACACGGGGTTCGTGCCGGCAGCAATTCATCTCCGGGAAAAGCGGAACACGGAGCGACAYCTCCTCTTCCCCAAACCACCGAGAGTGAGCTCTGCCAGCCCGGTTTGGTGGCACCGGGAGCTCGACACAGCCAGGACAACATCACAATGTCCAATACCCCTGATAAACGCAGCCCAAATTAAATGTCACCCGTGGAACACGATGGGCTGTGTGAGCGCAAACACCTGACCTGAATTCACCCCCGCTTTGTTTGGCGAGTTTGGAAATCCTGGCACATTTGGGAAAATTGTGCCTTGCTGTGACCTCCTCACCCCTCCACAGGAGGAGAAARGTGTCCAGCTCTGGAGAGGAGCAGAGACACCCTCCCCTGGCTGGGTTTTCAGGGAACACCAGTGACACTTCGAGACAAAGCAAACAGACTCCTTCCTTACACCTCGGTGCATCAGAGGAGTAACTCCACAGAAAACTGTGCAATCGTATGAGCAAAACAAAAGGTTGGGTTCAAATCAGCCCGGTAAGGAACTACAAAACCTGAAATTCCSAGGGAACAAACCAGGATGGGTCTGGCTGCTCCTCACACGAGCCCAGCAGAACGAGCAGTAACAAATTCCAGCAGCAGCACAGAGCTAAAATAATTAAGATGGCTATTGATCTGGAATATTGCAAGCCTGGAGAAGTGAAACCTTTTAATAAATCCTCCCGTTGATACCACCAGTTAAAAATTATTCCTTCAGCTCCATATTCTGGGTCGAGCTCCCACTCTAAACGTTTTTCTGAATGTCTCTATACAGTGCCCGGTGTTTTTTCCTGGCTTTCCTGCCTTGCTAGAGCCTGCAGAACCAGGCAACAGGAACCGAGGGAGCACAGGCGGCATTCCCCTCTCCATCCTGCCCTTCAAAGCAGAGCCCCGAGCCCCTGAAGCGCTCCCTGCTGTGCTCCCTACCCTGTCCCTCCAGCCCTCGCTCCGCGCTCCGTTCCTCTGCACAGCCCGGGCAGGAGCTCACCCCGAGCGGGGAGCCGGGGGGAGCCTGCGGGAAGAGGAGGTGACCGGGGAAAAGCCGAGGCAGGTGTGGAATGACAGCCCGAAAAGGATAAATTCTGCTTTCCCCAAGTGCAGAGGGTGAAACCTGTTAGAAAAGTTGCTGCAAAAGATGCTGAGGAAAGCGGTGGAAGCAGCTGCTTTTTGTGAGGATTTGGGAGGATATTTAGAGGGGGATCGAGTTGTTAAACTCTTTCTATAGGCAGGTTTTTATTTTTCCTTTGCACTTTAAATCCCTTCTATAGCACAGGCATTTCCTCTCTCATATCTATTTACCCGTATTTAGGGGATGTCTGTATTCTCTCTATACATTTAGGGGATATCTGTATTCCACATGCACTATTTAGGGTAAAGTCACAACGATTCCAGCCCCGTGCCCGTGGCAGTCCCAAGCTCAGGACCCCGCGCAGCATAAATTAGGCAGCACCTTCCTGTGCCCCGGCCCCGCTCCTTGTCCCTCCGCAGCACCCGCCTGCCATGGGATCGGCTTTTATTCCTTCTTACAACTCTTTCTTTTAGGAATTTTTCGCCTGACCGAGCCGCAGAGCCCCTTCCCCGGCAAACCGAGCGCTCGGGGCTCGCCCGCACCGGGGCTGCAGAGCCCCCCGAAACCCCCGGGATGGGGATTTGGCACCGGGATCTCGGTGCCAGCGGCGGGAGAGGCTGCCCCTCACCCGTGCCCGCGGGGTTTGGCACAGAGAGGAGCAGAACGATCCCGGGAGCGGCATCCGCACCCTCCCGCGGGCATCATTTTGTGTTCCCGWGGAGAGAGGCTGAAGTTCCGTTCCCCCGGACGAACCACCGGAGTTTGGGTTCCCCGTCCCTCTGAACGCGCGGGATTCCCGCGAGCGCATCCCGGTCCCGGGAACCGC